AAGGAAAGAAACAAGGGAGTAAACGAGATGTAGTGGAATTGAATAAGAATTCACAAGCAAAGAAACAAGGGGGTAAAAGAGATGTAGTAGACTTGAGAACACTCTTGACACTTTGTGCACAAGCTGTTGCTGTGGAAAATCAAAGGACAGCAAATGAGCTTCTAAAGCAGATCAGACAAAGTTCTTCTCCAATGGGGGACGGGATGCAGAGGTTAGCCTATTATTTTGCTGATGGTCTTGAGGCACGGATGGCGGGTTCTGGCACTCATATCTATAGAGCCCTTATTACACGGCCTGTATCAGCCGCTGATGTCTTGAAAGGTTACCAGCTACTGCTCGCTGCCTGCCCGTTCAGGAAGATCTCTAGCTTTTTCTCAAATAAGGCGATTATGAATTTAGCTGAAAATGCTTCAAAAGTACATATTATAGATATTGGTATTATGTGGGGTTTTCAATGGCCTGCCCTCATACAACGTCTCTCTTCTAGACCGGGTGGACCTCCCAAGCTTCGTATAACTGGGATTGATTTTCCACATCCTGGTTTTCGACCAGCAGTGAGGGTTGAGGAAACGGGGAGACGGTTAACTAATTATGCAAAGAGTTTCAATGTTCCTTTTGAGTTCAATGCTATAGCGCAGAAGTGGGAAACGATTAAACTCGAGGATCTTAAGATCAATAACGGTGAGGTTTTTGTCGTGAACTGTTTGTACCGTTTTAGGAATCTGCTCGATGAGACTGTGGATGTAAATAGTCCAAGAAATGTTGTTCTGAATCTTATCGGGAAATTGAATCCAGATGTTTTCATACTGGGGATAGTAAATGGTGCTTATAATGCCCCATTTTTCATCACACGATTCCGCGAGGCTCTTTTCCATTACTCATCCTTGTTTGATATGCTTGAAGCTAATATTCCCCGGGAAGTGCACGAGAGGATGCTGATTGAAAAGAATATACTTGGTCGGGAGGCAATGAATGTCATCGCGTGTGAAGCAGCTGAGAGAATTGAACGGCCAGAAACATACAAGCAGTGGCAAGTCCGAATTATGAAAGCTGGTTTTCGACAGCTACCTTTGGATGAGGAGATCATGAGGATGGCAACGGAACGATTCAAGGTGTACGACAAGAATTTCGTGATCGATGTAGATAGTGAATGGCTACTGCAAGGATGGAAGGGTCGTATCGGATATGCACTTTCAACATGGAAAGCAGCTTGTTAAATGAGCTGATGAATGGTATTCACTTTTCCAAGTGCTAGTTATTTATTATCTGGCCACCTTTTGTCTAATGCCCGGCAACAAATTTTATCACCTTTCTAGTGTTAACAAGTACAACTGTGAAAAGCTATGTTCATAACACTGTTTTGCTTATGGGGGAGCGGAAACAGAACGTTTATTGCTGCGTTCCTTCCTTAATGTGTCTCTACTCTCTAGCCGAGTGTAGAGACACATTTGCTTATGGGGGAGCGGAAACAGAACGTTTATTGCTGCGTTCCTTCCTTAATGTGTCTCTACTCTCTAGCCGAGTGTATATTGGAAACAGCTTTTCTGCCCTCCCAGGGTAGGGGTAAGGAGGTCTGCATATGCACTACCCTCCCTAATGCAATTAGCTGCGACAATCACAACACTAGAGAGGAATGGTGACACAATGTTGGAGCAGCATCTGTGTCCGGTACTACTCATTTTGCCAGGACATAATATTAACAGTATTGAGCAAATAGGCAATAATGAAGGTAGCAGTGTGTGTATTGGCTTCTTTTCATTTGTATTTTACATCAATCATGTTAGTTATATGTAGCATATACAATGATTTGTGAGGTTGTTATAGGTATCTTCTCTACTAATAAAGGCGAGTTCCAACATGATTTTTATGTAAGAGAAATAGATCCAATTTTTCGGTCACATAGCATCAACTTTACCAGTTACGTCAAGGCTCCTCTTCTATCCAATTTTCTCCGCAGCCTTTCTTCTACAAGATAGCGCAACCTATATAAAAGAATTGCTGACTAATATGCTTCTATAACTTAAACACTATAAGGGGTCGTTTGGTACCATGGATAAGCAAAAATAATCTAGGGATAAAAATTTAGTACCGTCTTATCCCTTGTTTGATTACTAATTTTGGGATAACTTATGCCATGATTAAAAATAATACCAGAATAACTTATACCTGCCAGAGGGTGGAGTAATCACAGGATACGTTGTCCTAAAATAAAGCAGTAAAATTGAGTCAATAAAAAATAATCACATCATAACTTATCTTCGGACCAAACGACCCCTAAAAGTCATTTTTGACCAATATTAGCATTGTTCTTTATCTATCTTTAGTGTTGTTCTACTTGGCCAATATTGACATTATGCTCGAAGTTTTCTCCTTTTCACACTGAAGACAATAATAAAGCTAACATTTTTGTTATGAAGAAGAATCAAATGACTATATTATTTCATCACATTGCAAAATCCCATATACAAAAGAACAAAGAATCAATACAATAACATTTCATCATTCAAGCAAATCCAAAGTCTCAAGCTTCTTAATGCCTTAATACAGCAAACAACGACACGAGCAAAGAAGTTCCAATCAAAGCACCAGAAACCGGCAATGAGAAACCCGCCCCAGCATCAGGCGACGGAGCTGGTGCAAGACTAGGCTCCTGAGCCGAAACAGTAACAACAACGAAAAAGACGAAAATCACGAACGCCTTAATGATGCTAACAGAAGCCATTTTGATGAAGAAATGAAGAGATTTTATTTATAGTGATTTTGAAAATTGAATGGAGAAGGAGAGATTTATTCACAATTCACAAAATGATGGTGAAAATGAAGAGTGGAAAATGGAGTATATTTATAGTAGTAAGGCAACAAAATGGACAGCTAGTAAAGAGATGGATTTGTTGAAAAAACAGCTCAGATATTGGAGATGACAGGCTATAAGATTAGTGTGGTGAACTGGCCATGTTATTAGCCAGTAAAGAGACGTTGTGAAAGATTCCCACTCGTTGATTATATAATTAAGATACTATTTGAAAAGGTAATATATCATCATAATTGCAGGCATTAATATAATTTTAAAATCTGTTACATTTTAGATTGATTTCAAATGTTGCTTTTATGTATTCTCTTTCATCATGACCTAATATTTATGTGAATTAAATTAACGTCTCAAATTTCTTGTTGATTCAAATAACGTTTGATAAAATTAATTAAGATAGTAAATGTGAAAAAGGAAAAAAAAATAAGACGGACAAAAAGTCTCATTGGGCCTTTATGCCATACGGGGTAAGTGAACATATAGCCATTTTCAGGGAGAAAATTCAAAAGTAGTTATATTTACACGTGGTCATTGAAAAATAGCCACAATTTCAAAAGTCATTAAAATTTAGCCACTTTTTATGTAAAGATAAATCTGAACGAAAATACTGTTCAAAATCCGGAAAATATTCTAGTATATTATGCTGGAAGTCCAATATATTATGCTGGAAGTCCAGTATATTAAACTGGAATTCCAATATAATATACCGATCCAGCATAATATGCTGGAAGTTCATACACAGGTGCTCCAATCTCCAGTATATTATGTTATAGTTTTTCGTGTGCTAGAGTTCCAGCATAATATGTTGGAAGTCCATACACAAGTGCACCAATCTCCAGTATATTATGTTGGAACTTTCCGTGTTGCAGCACAATAATGGCTATTTTTCAATGACTTTGCAAACGCTGGCTATTTTTTAATTACCAATGCGAAAACTGGCTAGCCCATGCTATTTTTACCATTTTCAGGGATGCTATTTAGGGATTAGCCAATATTTATTTTGTCTTGCAATTTTAAACTAAAAATCTTAATTTCAGGATAATTTTGTCATAAAAATTAAACTAAAACTAAAAATCAAGATACACTATTTAATTCTTAATTAGCGACCCTTTAAAGTGACTACCTGGTGTCATTTCTACTGCGAACTGCACGATGATGAGTCTGTAGACTTTAGAGACTACAGACTTTAACGTCTGTTCCTGTAGTGACGGCCCCCATGAAAACGACTTTAATGAAGCTATCTCTCTGAGAAATATATATTACTCCCTCCGTTCCAATTTATGTGAACCTGTTTGACTGGGTACGGAATTTAAGAAAAAATGAAAACTTTTGGAATTTGTGGTCCTAAACAAGTTAAAAGGGGACTCAGAGTATTTGTGTGGTTATAAAAGCTTCTCATTAAGGGTAAAATTGTAAGTTTAAGCTAAATTATTTCCAAATTTAGAAAGGGGTTATTCTTTTGGAACGGACCAAAAAGGAAATAGGTTCACATAAACTGGAACGGAGGGAGTATTAGCTATTCTAAAAAATAATAATTGATAAAATATACTATAAAATAATAACCGATAAAATCTAGACCAATCAATTTTGTATTTTGCTCTACTTCAACGCGTTTACCCATTTCGTGCCATACAGCTCTGTCGTCATGGGCCCATAGCCCATTACTTATTTGGCCCACAGAAGGAATAAGCATCGAATAAAGCCCATTATGTTCCCATTTCACTAGGAGAGAAAAATACAACATGAATAAAAATTAAAATTCGAGTGGTCTAGATTCATACCCACAATTTCTCAGCATTTTCGCGGGAATCTAACCTTTCAGCCAACAAATCAGAAGCTTCCACGTGTTAAAGTTGCTACACTTTATGCCACGTAAGATAATCATAATAAAGCTTCCATCACACGATTGGATATAAGTCAGAAAAGCAGCTTCTGGAACAAGCCTTTTCCCTTTGACAGCCCACACAAACGCTCCCCTTTTCCCTCCAATATAAAGTAGTCCAACCATATTACTACTATAAAAACACACACACACACACTATGCTGCAAAAAAACATTTTATTCCTACAAATTTATTCACTTTTGTACTACTATCTCAAAGCTTTAGTAGAAAAGAATTACTATCTTGTAATCTCTACATTTGTAGCACGTACGTATCGTCGATAATATTTAACTTTTTATTTTCATTGTTACAAATCTGTTTACAGTCGCAACTGTTGTTATAGTCAACAGGGTTGAAACATTCAATAAAAACTTCGACCGTCACCTATATTTACGTCATTGTTGAATTGATGGAGGGGGTAGATAGTGATTGCGAGGTGGTGGAAGAAGGATGCATGACTCCGAGGCGTGACACGTGTAGGATAATGGTGAATTCTTTGTGCCCGCCGCCGCCGCCGAAAAAGAAACGAGTTTATGTCAAACAACAGCGTCCTCCGCCTAAGGAAGGTTATTTTCAACCACCTGATCTTGAGCTTTTCTTTGCCATTGTAAGGAGAGAGGCTTGTGCTTAAATATTGGTTCTTTAATTAAAAAGAAGAAAAGAAAAAAAAAGGTAAACGGCTCGTTTTGGTACTCTTTTTGTAGTGTATATTGCAGCAATATGAAGGTATATAGATAGTATGTTTGCTCTGTTTTTTAAAGTGTCTCAGATTTTGTACAATGTAGAAATTGGCTTAGCATCACGGGCGGAGCTAGTATGTGATTAACGGGTTCGGCCGAAACTAATATTATTGGTCCAAATTAAGTAATTGTTATAAGAAATTCATTGAATTTATACAATTATTAATTTAGAATTTAGTAACTTAAAAGAATTTGAATCTCGAACCTATAGGTTTCAAATTCTGGCTCCGCTTTGGGTCTAGCATTCTGTTATGCCTGTTGCGCCTGTTGAGAAAGCTCTATCTTATCTTTTTGGCGAACAAACACAACTGACCTTGTTTGTGCAATTATCATTTAGGGGCGGGCATATATCGGGTAAAATCGATAACCCGAATTGTTAATTATTTAATGAGTTATCGGTATTGGGTTAACGGTTCGGTAACGAGTAATTTTTTTTATTGGGTTATCGGTTCGGGCTCAGTTTGGCAATTCTGTTGGGTAAAATTGATAACCCAATAAGGGTTAACTAATTTACTAGTTTACTCTTAAGTATATACATACTAGGGTTTCATATACATAGTTCTGACTTCTCAGTTTCTCCGCCTCACACCTTGTCGCCCTCACCAGTTCTCCGCCAGATGGATTACCTTTGCTTGCAAATTCAACCACTGATTTTTAAATCAAAGTTTTTCTTGGAAGACTCAAGTCAAGTTGCACTAAGATGGAACTTTAACTGGTTGTTCTGTTACTCAATCAGATGATGTGGGTGCTTTTGGCAGCAAGAAAATCTTATAATTTGAAGAAACATTTTCTATCAAAAGAATATTGTTCAATTGAAAAGGAGAACGAATGCCAATATATCTAAGCAACGTAAAACAAAATTGTTCTCATTTGCAGAATCTGTTTTAGTTTATCTTATCGGGTAAACCGATAACCGAACCGATAATGAACAATAACCGATTAACCGATAACCAATATCTTATCGGTTTATCATATTTGTAAACCGATAACTGATAGGTAAAATCGATAAATATTCATAACCGAACCGACCGATGCCCACCCCTATTATCATTGACTCCAAACTGAAAAAATAAATAAATAAACGATTTACCCCAAAGTCCGAAAAAATCCAGTAAACTTGGACAGAAGCAGTGGTCCAACACTTATTTCTAGCATTCTACTTGGGCCTAGAGTGAACTCTGTTTTCTACAAAAAGCCCATTTAACCAGTTTGTAGCATGCTCATTTTGTAAATTTAACGACCAAAGACAGAGTTTAAGGGATTTTTACCTAGCTATACTATATTAGAAATTTATTTACCTATATTTTTTATGTTTTACAGTTTTTAATAAGTATCTAGATTTTTCTTACAAATTGTATACATTGCTTTTTAAAAAGCTTTCACCCATTATTAGTGCCTTCAATTACATCCATTCCTTTTAACCCCCTCTCCTTTTCTCTCTCCTTTTTTTCTTATATCAAAATTCCTTAATCTACACCTAGAATCTTCATCCTCTCCCTTCCCGCCATTACTGACAGCTTTATATTATTAAAAAAAATTAAAATTGTATGATAATTGTATCATAATTGTATTTGAATTGTATCAGATACATAAATTCCTAAAACATAAATGTATCATACTTGTATTACAATTGCATCTAACTTGTATCAGGTATATTAATACCTAAAATAATACATGATACAGTACTAATAAATTAATATATAATTTTCATATTTGTGATACAAAATGTGAAATTCGTCACGAACTCATAACCGCTCGTAACAATATACAATGAATATACAATTATCATTCATTTGTAATACAATTCCTGCAATAATTATGATGCATATACAATTATAATACAATCGCGATACAATTATGATCTTCATCTTCTTTAAGTTTCAATCACAACTCTACGCTAAAACTTTAATATAATTGTATTAGTATTGTATCGAGTATTGTTTTGAGTATTGATGTATGTACAAGTCAAATATAATAAAGATTTTAGAAAGAAAGAAAATAAAATTCAAAATTTACCCACAACTTGATTCTAGAGTAATATTTCTAATTTCGTCTGCATTGTATCAATAAGAAACAGAGATTTTAGGTGATTAGTAAGAAAGAGAGAAGTTGAATTTCAAAAGCTTTGGAAGAGGAAAAGAATCTGCAATTTTGGGGGATAACAATGGGTAAGCGAAATTTTGGATAATAGTGGATAAGCGAGATTTTCAATAACAGTGGGTAAGCGAGATTTCTTACTGTGGGTAAGAATAATTTTGGGTAACTGTTAAAAAAAGAGAAAAATATTTTTGTAATCCTTTGGAAATGGAAAGAATCTTAAATGTAGGAAGGATTATTGAAAATGAGGGTTGGGTGTCATGTAACTGATAGGCTAAATTTAAGGGGTCTTGAATTTCATCTTTTTTGTGATTTTGTATATAACTAGTAAATATAGATATACAAAGTAATTGACAATAAACCCAAATAAAGGTAATAAATAAATTTCTATTATAGTTTAGCTAGGTAAAAATCTCATTTGTAGCTAGTTTAAAGCTAAAGGAGTACAGCACAAAGCGTGTCTTATTTGGACCATGTAAATTATAAAATGTCTAGGTTCAAAATTTGACATCCGAAACCTTCAAATTCTGAATCCGCATCTAAACGTACCATGTTGAAATTCTTCGTAACGGGGAAAACTAGTTTGTAGCTTTCTTACGTACCCAAAATGAATAATTCAGACAGGGTATGTGTGCTATACTCTTCAGTAAACTTTTCGAAATAAATTTGATTATTTGACTCAGTAAATTTTTATTACTGAATAGTTAAATTGGAACATAATCTAAAGGACTCCAAAAATACTATCTTTAAGGTTTCTAAATTGGCTCTTGGAGAGAAATGAATGCTCGGGGTGCTTGTTTGACTGCATTTTTGTATATAAAATAATATGTTTATGCATTGCAGAAACATATTATTTGCGGTAAGGTTCAATCTCTAAGGTTTTTAGCATTAAACACATATATTTTTAAAGCGTTGTGTTCATACTATTTGCTATAATCTTTTACAATTTTACTAATTTTTATATATATATTTATCTTGCACGTCAAAAATTATGGGTTCAATTGAACTCGTAATGTTATATCCGCTTCTCATGTGGTGTACCTACCCTCTCACGAATATTCACACATGACTAATAATATACATGTAGGGTCCATAAAAAATTTCACCAACAGGTCAATAAAAGTAAAATCCAAGATTACTTTAGCCATCTTTATATCAATATAAGGTTTATTAGGACATGGACCTAACTCTACTAGAGCAATAGTAAAGGCTTTAATGAAGTACACTATTTCAATGAAATTATGTTGCATTATTAATTCCAATTTTGCTGCAGTCACTTCCCATCCAGACATTTGTGTTTCCTTCTAAGACCTGTCATTCAGTATGGTACATCAAAACCTTCGACGTATCAAACAACCAAGCCAATGGACTGTCATTTTTTACGGGCGGATCCAGAATTAAAATTTAATAAGTTTAACTTTTAAGATTTTTGGCATCGACTCATTATAACAATTGAGATCTAATATTTGTTATATTAAATTAATATTAGTAGCTTTTCGTACACACACACGATGAACCTATAACCAAAAAGCTATATCCGGCTCTATCATTCTCACAATTTATGTTTTTCAACTTAAGAGCACTTTTGATTTGATTAAAATTATAAATTTATATATTTAATATTTTGTGTAATCCCTGAAATATCTTTCCTAAAATATAAATTTATATATTTAATATTTAAGAGCATTTTGATCATTTTAATAGAAAGAATTCTTTCATTCAAACATGTTTATTTAATATGCTTTTCAACGCTTAATTCATGCCTATCTATTTCCAATCAATTAAGCCAAACTAGCTCTAAAATTGATGTAATTGTGGATAGAGAATGACCTCACAAGAAAAACTATTCGAATAACAATATATAACAAGAAGAAACGTTAAAACCTAGTTATAGAAAAACGTCAAACTTCCATGAGGAAATTAGAGATAAAAAATACTGAGATAATATTGTTTCTATTCTACGTACTTGTCGCTAATTTCTCTGCCCACACAAGCACAAGAAGAAATTTTAAAGGAAATGAAAAGTATATGGTGAATAATAAAATTAAACGTAGGACGGAACAACATTTTACATAAAGCCCTTCCAACATTTTCTAAACGAAAATAAGTAACAAATGAACTGAAAGAAGATTGCAAGACTAAGTGGGCGTTTGGACATAAGAATTGTGAAATTTCTGAAAAAAGTAAAAAAAATTCAAGTGAAAATGATATTTGAAAATTAAAGTTATGTTTGGACATGAATACAATTTGGAACTAGTTTTGAATTTTTATGTAGTGATTTGAAGTGAAAATTTTGAAAAATAACTTTTTGGATTATTTTAAATTTTCAAAAAAAATCCGAAATTCATCTTTGAATAAAATTTAAAATTTTTATAATCAAACACGGATTCCGAAAAAAGTGAAAATTTTACGAAAAAATTAAAAAATTTCTTATGGCCAAACAAGCCCTAAGTTTGGCTTGGAACGATTGAGAGATTAACATGACCCTTGTATAAGGATGACACACACGAAGCGAGAAATGATCCTAGAATACAATGGAGATGACAAAATTTTAGGAAATGATTAGTATTAAGCAGGTAAACAGAAAATATACAATGACTATGAGAGTAACTGCAAAATCAAAGTCTTTGATACTCAATGAACACAAAATTACAGGAAAACCCTAGAAAAAGTAGCAATTCCTGACTATTTGCAACCATTGCATCATGCACTTTATGCCCTTCTAACAGCCACAAGGTTAAATATTGAGCTTGCTCATAGTGGCGAAGCTAGGAATTTACCCTAGGATATTCAAATTTGAAAGAAGTAAAAAAAATTCCGCCAAAGAGTATTTAATATGTGTTATATACCTCTACAACGTAATATTTTATTTATATACACAGTGCAATTTTTTCGACGAAAGG